GTCCCCCCGCCCAACGCCGGAGCGAGGAGGCCCCTTCTGCGTCCCGCCCGCTGAAGCGAACCCGCTGTAGGCGCTGCAGTTTCCCCTCTTGAAGCACGAGAAAAATAAAGATCCACCGCACCGCGGTAGGTAACTGGGCCAGAGACAGGGAGCGCCTTTTTCCTTTTTATTGCAGCGTGGTTCGCCCTTCAGGCCGCTGCCTTTCCCCGATGCTCCCGGCATCGCTCCGTTACTGAGTCCGTCACAAACCGGCACCGCGCCTGCTCAGCGAGGCCGAGCGCCTTAGCAAGCTCTTCCGAACTGGAAATCGGAGAGACATGCGATGAGGAATTACGGGGCAGAGCACGAGAGCAACCCGGAGACGAATTTCAAGGCTCACCTGTCCAGCTGCAGCCCAAAAACACCCGAGCGAGAAAACAACAGGGATTGCCGAAGCAAACAATGCAGCAGAAACGCCCAGGCAAGGAAACTTAAGCAACGTGACGCAGCTCTTTTAAAGGAAAATGTGGGTGGCTCTTAAAAGAGCCTTTGGGTTCTCGAGAAGCTGCAACAACGGCAAATCTTTTAACCGCCGAAGCCGTAGAGGGTGCGTCCCTGGCGCTTCAGGGCATAGACCACGTCCATGGCCGTGACAGTCTTCCTCTTGGCGTGCTCGGTGTAGGTGACGGCGTCACGGATCACGTTCTCCAGGAACACCTTCAGCACGCCGCGCGTCTCCTCGTAGATGAGCCCCGAGATGCGCTTGACGCCGCCACGCCGAGCCAGGCGGCGGATGGCCGGCTTGGTGATGCCCTGGATGTTGTCGCGCAGCCCCTTGCGGTGCCGCTTGGCGGCGGTGCCTTTTATGTGTTGGGGTCCGACCTGATTGGGAGCAGGGGCGGGTGCGGAGCGGGGGGCGGGGCCTTGGCCCGTCGCTGCTCCCGGGCAGCTCCCCGGGGCTCGGGCCGCCTTTTCCGCGCCAGTCCCCGCCTCCCTTTCTGCTTCCGCTCGCCTCGCCGTCCCGCGGCCCCGCTGTCCCGGGAGCGCCGTTTCCCCGCACCTTCCCCTCCGGCCCGCACACCTTCCTTTTACGAGGGGTCCTGCGTACCCATACAAGCACTAACTCGTGTCCCGACTGCGATGTCTCCGTGGGTCGCACAGTTCCCTGACCTTTCGGGCTGGTTGTCGTAGCTCTAGTTCTGGACAGCGGCGCGGAATAGGGTTGGGAGCTGCTTCACTGCTCTTATTCTGTTCTGGTGTCTGCTGGGTACAATTTATTTCAAACATATTCACCTTACGTTTTCGACAAGATTACATTAGTGGTAGAAGCGCCTATCGTACCTTTAATTCTTGTTGTTCTCTTTCACAGTGTTACAATGAATATTTTTAATATGATTGTATTGCTGTGTGTGCAGTGTAACATGTTCATCTTTCACACATCCGCAGTTGTGTGTGCCAAGCATCACCTTCAAAAGAGGGCATTAAAACACAGGACAACAAAATTTCTGTGCTATCTCTTCTGTTTTTCCTTGGCATAGGAGCAGGGGTAGATGTCCAGTTCAAGTAGGCAATCTGCATAAAGGTGGATACATCCAAATCATCTGTGAAGCTTTGATGCAAAACCTGAACCCATCACATTCCCCTGTCAATGGTTGTTGCTTTGGTTTTTTGTTTGTTTTGTTTTTTTTTTTTAGTAACTTCTTAAATAAATCTGGCTAGAATCTCTTTGTAGGAATTCAATAATTCCTGGAAATGTTTTTCTCCTGGAAGGAAAGTAACAAACTTTTAGTAAAATATGTTTGTATTTTCATTGAAACTTGCTGATTCTAAAAACGAAAGTAAGGTGGATGGGGGGGTGGTACCCAGATACAACTTCTGTCTGAAGAAATAATGGAATGTCAAAGCCTGGAGAAACTTTCCTGCTATATCTATGTAGCTGCAACAAATTCCTGTGTTGAGCACATGCTGTCTGCTTTGGGTTATAATCTACAGTGGCTGGAAAAAAATACATCTATAGTAAATCTTTAGTCTATAGTAGCTGAGAAATTAAAATCCACTGACTGGATTGTAACATAAATACTTGGATAGTTCTAGACTATTATGTGTGACATCCAAAAGCAAAATGTACCTTATTAAAAGAGACAGAGGGAGGCAGGTCTGCCTTTCCTGTCTTCTGGCTTATGCCTGTTTTTATTTGATCCCCAGTGAAGGGGAGATCATATGTTGGTTTGTTTTTTTCTGCAAGAACCCACAGCCTGTGACTACCAATCTCTATTTCCTTAGTCGCAAGTATCTTGTGTAGTGGAAGAGGATAATCTCCAATGTACAAAAATGTATCTTAGAGCAATGATGGGCCAGTAAGATCAGAATCACATCTCTTGCCAGTTTCTAAGTAGGTCGAGAAACAATCATGAAAGCATGCAAATAAAAGAGAAAAAAACCCCAAAAACTAAAAAAATAACAGAATCGCAGAACAGTCATGGTTGAAAAGGACCTCTGAGATCACCAAGACCAACAAAAAAAACCCCAAAACAACCAAAGAAACCCAAACAGCAAAAAAACAGCCAACAACAAAATACAATACAAAACAAAAAACTACCACACACCACAAAAACTCAAAAAAACCCCCACAGTACACAACCTACAATCTCAGCCATTAGAGCATGCCCTGAAGTGCCACATCTATGCATTTCTTGAATACCTCCAAGGATGGTGATTCCACCACCCCCCTGGGCAGGTTGTTCCAGTGTCTGACCATTCTTTCAGCAAAGAAATTCTTCCTAACATCCCACCTACACCTCCCTTGCCTCAACTTCAGACCATTTCCTCTGGTCCTGTCATTATTTACTTGGAAGAAGAGGCCAACACCCACCTCACTACAATCTCCTTTCAGGTAGCTGAAGAGAGTAATGCAATCTCCCCTCAGCCTCCTTTTCTCCTTACTAAACATCACCAGCTCCCTCAGCTGCTCCTTGTATGACTTGTATCTCAAGTCATGAGTATGACTTGTATCTCAAGCGACCACTTGGTCGCTCTCCTCTGGACATGCTCCAGCAACTCAACATCCTTCCTGTAGTGAGAGGCCCAGAACTGCTCACAGTACTCAAGGTCTGACCTCACCAGTGCTGAGCACAGGGGCATGATCACCTCTCTATTCTGGCTGGCCATACTATTCCTGATGCAGCCAGGATGCTCTGGGCACACTGCTGGCTCATGTTCATTCAGCTGTCAACCAGCACGACCAGGTCCTCTTC